AGATGGATGGATGGATGGGTGGAGGTATGAGTGGGTGGATGGATGGGTCATTCTTATGACATCTTGGCCTGAAATTGTGTTGCAGAGGATGAAGAACATTAACATGTTTTGCTAGCAACAGAGAAGCCATGATGACTAAGTGAATTTTTACTCCATGAACCGAAATAGACATTATTAAAGTCTATTTTTCTAAAAGAAAAAAATTATCAAACATTTTGTGTGGAAAACTAGCTGTATCAGTAATGATCATCAATATTGTTGCGGTGGATGAGAACTTGAGTCATGGATGCTTCATTTTTCCTTTTCTTTACATTATTATTAAACATGTACTGTACATTTAATTAGAATTTTTTTAGTCACTTTAAAACATCCATTAGAGCTTCATTAATTTATTTCTTTATTGAAATTACTCTTTGGTCCACAAAGAGACAGTTATTAGCGTTATTATTAGGTTGTTATTTTACTAAAATCATTACTTCCATGGTGTACATATGATGTCATGAGAATGACCCAGATATTGACCGAAGTATAAGCTTTGATATGAAATATTGTTTCAAATTTAATTCACCCAAATGTGGCCTACATGAAGGAATCCTGGATTCCTGGAAAAATGAAAATGAATTTCTAATTCTGTGTGTGTGTCTGGTTCTGTTTGTTTGTTCAGGAACTTACGTGACACAGGTGACAGCCACAGATGCAGATGATTCGTCATACGGTAACAGTGCTCGCGTCGTCTACAGCATTGTTCATGGACAGCCCTATTTTTCTGTGGACCCCAAGACAGGTGAGAACATGCAGCAACGTTCTCCATGGAGTTGTAGAGAAATATCTGCAAAACAAAAAGCAGCAAAGTTTGTTTGTTTGGTTTTTAACACTTTTTATATGTTAAAACAGTTAAAACAATAACCCTGTAGATTTGAACTTTCCTACTCGACCCATCCCCAGGAGTGATCAGGACTGCCCTCTCCAACATGGATCGGGAGGTTAAAGAGGAGTACCAAGTCATTCTCCAGGCCAAGGACATGGGGGGTCAGCTGGGAGGACTAGCGTCTACCACCACCGTTAACATCACCCTAAGTGATGTCAACGACAACCCACCCCGCTTCGCTAAGAGTAAGAAAACCTCATTAGTTATGTATCATCAGTTGACATGACTCACTGGATTTGTTGTTTGTTAGGATAAAAACACTGAATCCACGTCCCATCCTCTCAGGTATATTCCATGTGCGTGTGCCGGAGTCTGC